GAAAAAAAAAAAAAAAAATCGCACTGTATGTCGCCAGGGGATGAGAAGGGATTTGTTAGTGGTAAGTAACGAAACAAGCTGTTACTTTTTGCATTTAATGTAAAGGAAAAAATTCTAATGGTCCTGTCAAGTACGCGTAACACTGCTGTGTAAGTCGTCAGCAAGGGGACTAGTACACTTATCTGCAAAAAACATACAAACCAAGTTACACAGAGCTTGTTATCTTCTGCTGCACAAGCTACATGAAATAATATTCACTATTCTCTGTGTGCTACAGCTGGAAAAAATTCATGGTGTTTTATGGTTTTTGATATCCCTCACTCTCCTGTTATACTCCCATTTTATTAATACCAGTTGTAAATTCACAGCTCCATACTTATTCCATGAACAGAAGTCAGCTTTGTCAGGATCAACAGCATTGTGGGGGAGAACAACCATCTGTGAAACATTTTCATACCATACCTCTTGAAACGTGGAGGTTGGTGGTGTGGCAAATAGCGTTGCAGCTATTTTTCTTTGGTACCAGGGCATTTCAGCAAAGGAGTAACACCTGGGGCAAAAGGAAACATCTGTATATACCCTGCACGTTTTCCTCTTGGTTTTGAGTAACTCGTAACTGTTGTTTTGAAGAGTCACAACAACTCCAGCCACACTGCAGGTTCTTACACCTGTGCAACGAAACAGCAAGGTGTCTGAAGTTGCTGCAGAGAAGTTTTGGGGTGTCTTTTACTGGGAACTGCAGCTCCATTAGACAAAACTGGAGACAGTTATTAACCATGAGCTTTTGAGCTTGAATGATTTTTATGTGCATTTGATATTAGTCTGATACGTTTGCAAAAACAGCCCACAAGTGAGTAATGTCATTGCCTTACGTCAACATTCCCTTGTTTTTCTCAATTATTAATATAAAGCAGATCTGCAGTACAGCCCTGAAACACTTTTTATCTATATGAATGAAAATAAACCCAAGAATCTAACTACTGTGTTCCAGGCTAGGCCATTCTATGCTGCTTTCCTATCCACTAAACAACACAGGTGATCAGTCACACACCTCTGAGATGCTGAGGTGATTAAACGTTTGTTAAGTGATTCAAGTGCCTAGAACATTCCAGGTGTAAACATTAAATGTGTTTTTCCCTTTATTACCCTCCCACAATGAGTATAAAAATGTTTTTCATTGTGTAGAACAGAGCACTCAGGAGGAAGTGAAAAATTAATAAATGCAAATACGGAAGTGTTCGGAGGTGGGGGGGAGGGCATGGAGTACAGAGTCTGAGCTGAAATTCTGTCACCAGGCATGCCTTACCAGCAATTCCAACAAAAGGTTCAACTCAGGATAGATGAGTAAGAGAAAGGAAAAAATACTCAAGAATTGGCTGATACCAAAGCCCAGTTTCAGATGAAGACACTCTGGGATTCAATAATGTGCATATTTAAATATGCACTAGGGGGATATTATAGTGCCAAAAGCAATAATCTCACATTTCTGATCATCTTTTCTACTCTTCCTTAGGAATAATGTCTTAAGTACTTTCCAGTCTCAAAACTGACCTTGAGGCTCATCATTTAGTTGGTAGCATACACTTCTGTTTAAAGCTCTGGGCTACTGCAACAGTTAGGTCACATGGGAATGACGGGTGGATGCTGAAAAACTGAAGGAAGTTTGTAAACTAATTTGAAAATAAAAATCTGGAGTAGGAAACTGCCGTTTACTTTGATACACAAGAATCCAGGAAAAAAAAAGAAACAAAAACCAAACCAACAGAGAAAGTGGCTGTGGTTTGTAGTATTTCTTTTTTCAGCTTTTTAAGGAACACTGACTTTATTTATTTTCAGTCTCTCTACCTTAGTTTTCCTATGAAACAATGTAGCAGCTTTGGTCTGTTTCTGACAAATAAGCAGAAATACTACCTGGAGTTTCTCACCAACACGTAAGAGACACTGCTTTGAACCACATCGCTTCCTCAGAATGCCCTGGCTACTGTGGACAGCTGTATCTCCAGTGCCTCTGCCTGCCATGTAACCGTAATTCTTACTACAAGCTTCAATGAGCAGTAGATTCAATTTCAGAGATTTTTGTTAAGGCATGTGCTGCCTTTTCTTAAATGCAACTTTTAAAATACAGCATCGTGACAGATAATGACGGAGGTATTTTAGGTACACATACCAATTTTGGTATCTTTTCAGTATGCACAGACTCTATTGAGTTGCAGCCATCTCTGCAGTTCAGCAGTGTCGAGTCTCGTCTCCATTCACACCAGTAGAACAAAACGAGCAGTGCTCACAAGCTATAGAAACATACTTATGTCTGCAAAATCAGGGGTTTTATACTTCCATACAGTGAAACACGTAAGCTGAATGAATGGTTATTTTTGATCTTTTCAAACTGCATAGGAATTACCAGCCAGACCTTTTCAAAGCATGACTTCTAACACCTGTACAGTAGGTTTCATGTCTGTATCAGCTAATCACGAGTCGTCGAATTATTCCAAGCACTGTTGTAATTCATATAAAACATTTTATATTCTGGCATTTTGCTTTGTTACATATAAAGTTTTGTTTGAAAAATGCGCCTTACCAAATGCCTATGAGATGAATTGTTGTAGCATCCTTTGGATTCAGTTCAACGGCTCTCTAGTGAGGGGGGGAGGAAAAAAAAAAAAAAATCACAAGATGTAGGAAGTTGTTCTTCTACCTGTGGATTAAAATACATTTAAAAAAAGCAGAGTTGCTATCCTACTGTTAATTAAACTAGATTAATGGCATCTAGAATTTCAAGGTGATACGATATTTATTCAGTGCACAGGAAAGTCGGCTCAGCTCCACAAAACTGACAGATTTTTCAAGACCTCTGTTTAGCAGGTCATTACGAGTTTCACAAGACTTGACATGTTCAGATATGCTATAATTTCTGGTGATATAAAATCAGGAGTACTTAATCTTCTCCAGTACTTGTCCTTCGCTGCCACACAATCCACCGTTAAAAGTATGGCCACACATCCATTTCTTAACAGCACAGTCACATTTTATCTAGTCCTAAGAGATATCAGAAGCGGTTGGCTATTTCAAGACTCTTCTACAGGGACTTGGTTTACTGCAGGAGATAATTTGCAAGCAATAATTTGCCGGGGCATTCAGGACTATCACAGTAACAGAAAAAAACAGTGTCACCAGGAGATCTGAACTTAAGTTCACATGCAAATTTTCACCAATAAAATCGAATAGTTCAACCCTCACACTCTTTGCATATTGGACACATTAATGCTGTCATATGGAAAAACTGTTTACATTACCTGGAAGTGCTCTTTGATAACAACAGCATTTCCAATTTTAGTCTTAATTCCCTCAAAATCTCCAACATCACTGAGGCAAATTCCATACCACTGTAATTCAAAGAACAAAACCAAAACATTCAATAAAGCATTATAGGTATTAATTAAAAAAAACCCACAACAGCTGCCACCGCCATTAACAACAAGAAGCAAGAACTGTTTGTTAGAACAGCCATGGCAGCATCAGAGCAACCCGCTGGTCCGCGTGCCTAAGGGAACTGACGTCCTCCTCTCATCCAAGACGCCAACAACCGACTGTCCTTGTAACCTCTCGGCCTGTGAGAGAAGCAGCACAAAAAAAGGGCAGAACAAAACCAGAGCCAGAAGCATTTCCCGTGAAACTCCACTGAGCTACTATCTTTTTAACGCGGGGGATGCGTACAACATTTTTAAGGCTACATCAGAGAAGGGTGAGCTGATTACATCAGCTGTCATCAGCCACCCCTTTCCACGGCCCTGCGCGCATTTAACCCCTTTTTGTTTCCTGCATACAGGAAATTTAGCTGGAAGTCTGGCTGGAAGCGTCTGAACTCTGATCTTCCAGGAAAGTTAGGGAGAATTAGAAGTCTAGCTGGTTTTCCACTGAAAAGTTAAACTATGCTGAAGTTTGCAGAAAAAGCACAATGACGTCTGTTCCAGTTTCTAGTGCCAGAAATCAAAGATTTCAGTGATCTTGCTTGGCTCACCTTGTGCGCTGCAAAACTGGCTTCGTTTTTTTCAAGAGCCATTTTTGCACACTCGAGGGCTTCATATGCCAGTCGTCTTTTCTCCGCTGCCGAAGTACTGCTAAGCTGAGCTACATCTCGAGATGCCCGCGCCAGCCGCCACAACAGCTCTGCGTCGTCACTAGTTACGAACAGAAACTTTATTTATTCTTTTAAAGCAGTAACGGAAACCACGCAAGCAAATATCATACACCAGTCTCTGGATACGCATCTCAGTGGGCGGTAACGCAGCAGCGCATCATCTGTCACGCTACAGAACCCCAAGGTGACGAACAACAAACAAGACCGCTCCGTCAGCAGCTGCCGACGGTACCTTCATTCTGCCCTCCTGGTCTGTGAAACAAACTCACCTGTAGGAAAGGGCTTTGTTTTCTCAAAATAAAAGATGAGATTTAAAAAACCCAAAACTACAGCACCAGGAGGAAAACGAGGACTACTTTGTTCTTAGCTAGACGGTATTTTTTGCAGCACTCCACTGCTGAGATATTAATGTTTATTAGGCATGTTTAAAATATTATGCATCTTTTTCCCTATAATTGTACCTAGATAATTAAATTCTTTCTAGAGTAACAGTGAAAACCCATAGATTAGCCACACCACCATGACATAAAACTGTACATTTAGATAATTATATCACTATACCAAATGGTTTGTGGTATGTCATAGCCAAAGGACTTTAAGGAGGTTCTGGCTATAAAAACTCCCCCTCCCCCACCAACAGGAATACTGAAGTCTAAACTACCAGGAGCCAAAAATGTTTAAAAGCACACAGGAGTTATTGCTAAATTCACAGAATCAATAAAAGCATTTTCTTATCTGGAGTGAAACTGAGCCACTGCTCGCAGCGCTGCAGTCCTGCTGGCACTAACACAGTCACACAACTAACAGGCTCGTTTTTCAGCCAAGTCACAAAAATGTTAAGTATTGCTACTGGAATCATTACTCCTCACATAATAATTAGCTTTGTTATACACCTAGTAGCAAGCTTACACCTTGCTTATGACATGGTGTCCCATACAGACTAGGACCTTCATTTAACTGTCTTGGCTTTATACTTGCACCCCTTGCAAGAAAAAAGGGAAAAACAAACATCCCACAAAGACCGAAAACAACTGAAAACAGTTGATTTCCTCCAGAAATGTTCTAGGATTGAGATGCCTTGTCTCATCCAAAGTAACAGACCCTTCAGTTTGCAATGCATTTTGTGCTTTCCCCTTAATCAGCTTGTCCCGGTTCGCTTACAATAACATTTTGTGTAGTTAAGACGTAATTACATGAGTAAGGAGATTTTTTGGTTCAGATTCAAATCCTAACCTGAAACAAATGACAACAGGAAAGAACAGTTGGTCAACAATGAAAGAGTGACCCTGTACTTTGATCATTTAGTAATGTGAAGACACATTATGAGTTTTTGCACTGTATTTTAAAGAATCCTTAGAGTAACAAAACAAACAAGCAAAATACCCTCCTTAGCAGGGCCGAAAAACTTGAGTGTTAACCAGCACCACCTACAGCTACCGGCCCTTTTCACTTTTCTATCAGGAGGAAAAAGACCAGGAATCCTCCTTTCCCCGCTTACATACGGATGAAAGCAAGGTTCTCCAGCATACCACAATGAGAACATTAGTTGGAAAACTGATAGAGAAGAACACAGGAGTCAGTGCAATCAAGTACCTATTCTTATGCTGAACCAGCAACCGATGCAGCTTTTCAGTTTCTCCGCTCCCGTACAGGTAGTCTGCTTGCTCTATAATGTCTTCCACTTCAGAAGGAATTAAGTTGTAGAAACAGAAGAACAAATTACATGTAATTAGGACATCAGAGCATAAACAAAATATTTTAGAGCAAGACAACATAGGTGAAACATGAAGAACACATGACATAGTTCTTTTTTAGGCCATCATTCCAAGTTCTGCGCACAGCAGGATTGGATAAGCTGCATTTACAACGAACAACTAGGAAGAGAAAGAGTGCTGAATACCTGCCTCTCTCATGGAAATATGAAACTGCCTTCAGCAACAGAGGTTTGCATGTGTAAGGAATCTAGCACTTAAAAGTGTCTTTCTCAATGCATCAAATTACTAGAAGCAATTTGTTTTCTTCTTTATGAAAATGACAGAAAAGGAAAAACAAAAAAGGGATGAAAAAATATTACCAGGAAGGCAACTGCCATAGAGATCAGAGAATAACAAACCCCCTTCATTAGTATCTGTACAGATTTTAAATCTAGTCATAAAAACAGGGGGGAAAAAGACCCCAAAACAAACTTCATTCTCAGTATGGTTCCCCAGTTTCACCAGAATATGACTGCAGATTGAGTGGGTCCCAATATGTTACTCAATGAGCCGAAAAGAAACATTGCACAAAGGTTTTTTGACTAAAGTCCTTTAGATTTTCACAAACATGACTCCAAAAAATACAGTCCATCTACTGAAAGCTGTTGTGTGGTCAAGATAATAAAAGCAAAAAGAATTTGAAAAAAATCAGAATTGGTTTTCTAGACTTTCAATTTATGAACTGAGTACACACTGTTCTTATGGTACTTGAATTCTTTTTCTAGAGAACACTTTGAAACACACCAGAAGTGGGGAAGTAGGAGTTCCACAACTGACTGAATATAGTAATATATAAATAAAATACGTATACAGTGCATAAAACAGCATTCCAGCAACAGAAATACCAAACACCACACAATACAGTATTCTAGCATGAGAACAGATGGGCTCAGGAAGAAAAATATCCAAAGGGAAGCAGGTAGACAGTTCTACTGAAGTATGTAACTGTACTGGAGAAGAACAGACGCCGAGTTTACTCTTCTGCCAACATTAAAACATGAAAAAATGCCTTTCAAGTCAAAAGCCTAATCTAATTTCTCACAGAACCTTCAGCTACGCTTATCGTCTCTTTGGTATTAATCCTGGGTCTGTGATTGAACTTCTGTCAAAACATAAGCTCTATCCCTCTCTACATAAAAATTAATAGCTTTTGTAAGCTTTCTTTTTTCAAGTTATCTACTGAATATGGTAGTGATGTTTCACAGCAGCTTTAATTATAGAAGAAAAAACAACACTGAAGGCTACTAAATACAAAAGCGTCATCTCAAAAAGATCCTAGAATATAAATCACTGAAGATTAGGAGAGCGTGCTGGATAATTTTTAACCCTGCCACCTCTAAATGCCTTCTACCAGCCATTCCACAGATAACGGTTTACATGGACTTTGGATGTCAGCGTCCAACGTTAGCTTCATGGTGCATCTTCAGTATTCTCGGCAGTGAATCGTTACGTGTGCCGGTTAAGGCCCGCTCAAGGCTACTAACACATCTAATGGCTAAATGCTAAGAACTCACACTTCTGAACACATTGTCCACCAGGGGTTTCACATAAATTATTAGACTTTTATTGCCTAAAGATTATTTTTCAGGTATTTCTTCTTTGACTCTTTACTTTCACCACATCTACTACTTGTCTTGAACAGAAAGCGCACCAAGATTGCTTTTCTTGGCAAGGTAAATGCCAGATTCAAGCAAGAGCACTAAAAAAGACCAGAAGCAACTAAGTGGCAGTCTTTATTTTCCCCATGGGAAATTTTCTTATTTGTGTGCTGAGCAGCTATCTTGTAGTCTGCTCATGGAACCTCCTTCCATTACAGCACATGAACCGGTTCCTTATCCGTTCAAAAGTCCATTCCCTCAGTTTTTATTTCTGTAAGCATAAATCTAAGATGTTCATCTCTGAGACCCACAGAAGCAGGTTACCTGAACCGACTACAATCTACACAGTAAGCACACATTTCAGTTTGGCTCTTTCTCCCTTCCATTAGGCTTACTCTCAACAGCCCTTAATTTACCACGTGATAGACAAGTTCTAAGTCAGCAGTACTATCCCCTTTCAAGATAATGATAAGCTTCTTCCAGTGCTGAGACTATCTTTATTCAGATATTGAAAAGGACATTCTGTCACTTGTTCTATTCACTTCTGGTAAGCAAAGCAAAGCTTTTCTTCCCCTTTTTCAGTGTGGCAAAAATAAAAGACATTTCTCAATTCAGTTTGAAATGCGATCTCAGTGCTGCTTGACTACATTAAATGGGGATTGCATGGTGTTCATACTAAATTTCTTAAGGCTTGGGCGACAAGTTAGGTACCGTACACCCTGTGCATGTGTTGTGTCCCAGACAGGATAAGCTACTAGATCTGCTTTCAGTGACAGCTGAAAGAGTAACTTGTTGAACTGCTACAAGACCAATTCAAAAGCATCCTGTGATGGAAACACACTGCATGCAGCCTTAATGGAGAAAATCAGCAGCTTTGCACCATTTTCCTATATAATGCTGGTCCTAAAAACGTCAAGCTTCACATCAGAATAACCTACACGCTTCAAAATTTGAAAGCGTTACCTTTGAAGCTCGCATGAACCTCAGCAAAGCCAGAAATCAGCCTGTGAGCTTCATACACCAAAAAGGACCCTGCTGAGAGCACAAATCCCCTCTGAAGGTTTCTTCTAAGCACCTGCATGGGATCGTAAGATATGTATTAATAAACATTGCTACTCTGACTTACAGTTTTTTCTCATCCCTAGAACCAGTTATAGTTAGGATTTGGAGCAAAGATTTTAAATTAAATATATATATATAATCAAGAGGGTATTTTCAATTTTTAACAAGGGCTCATAATTACGCTTTAAAATACGAAAAGAACACCAGACCGAAACCAAACTATACATGGAGCAAACGCAAGAAGCAGAAAAAGCCAACTCGCAGCTTTCCAAGGAGCACAGGGACCCCAGCTTTTGCAAAAACGGGCCAGCCCCCCGCTGCGTCCCGCGATGCCG